CTTCTGGCGCGGATTGGGCGGCACTCCGTGCTTGGACAGCTGCGGCATCTTCGTTCTTAACAGGCCTGGCGAGTACACCCTGCGCTGGCCGCTGAGCGCCGTGCACGACAGAGACGAGACGGGGTTGCTCTTCGCACGCAAGTCGGTGATCGGTGAGATCGGGTACCGTAACAGAAGCAAGGCAGAGGTCCCCGCAGCAGCGGGGGCCTCCACCAGCCCATCATCGGAGCCGACGAACTGGCACCACAGCCAGAACGGAGGCCCTGGGATGCATTGCGATCGCTACTACCCGAAAAAAGACGCCCGCGAGCACCTCCAGGATTTACTGACTCAGTCAGAGGAATGCCAACGCAAGATCCAAGAGAAGGAGCGTGAGAAACTGAGGCGCGCCGAGGCTGAGGCTAGAGGGGGCCGCCGCTTCTCTAGCAATCGCGAGGTGACCCTCTTCCGCGCGTTGCAGAAGACGTTCCCGCCGGAGACCGTGGAGGTGGAGGGGCGCTGGCACGGCGGCGCCCACTACCCTCTCCTGTTCCAAATGCGCATGGCCAGCGTGCGTTCGCAGGGGGGGAAGCAGGAGAGAGCCAAAGAGAAGAAGGACAGGCGCGCCCAGAAACAGCAAGCAGCTGCGCTCCAGGGCGCCGCAGCAGCGGCGCCCGAGCAGCGCGGACCCGAGCGCCGGGCACCAGAGCAGCACCGCGAGAGGGACGAGCAAGACGAGCGCGCCCAACAGGCGTGGCGCCCACCAGGATGGGCAGACGAAAACGCGGACGACGGCCGCGACTGGCCCGCGGCTGGCGATGGAAGGTCGCGGCGGGGGTCTGAAAGGGGGAGGGGGGGAGAGGGGGGTGGAGCACGGGGAGGGCAGGAGGGAGGAGAGGGAAAGAGGAATAGGCTGAGCAGGACGAGGGATGACATAAGGAAATGAGTGTCTGGAAGGGGCGGGAGTTGACAGGGAGGGGATAATTATAGAAATAGTTACTTATCACCCCCAAGGTGGCAGCCGACCCCGCAGTGCCCATCTCCAGGGCCTGCGCCGCTGGAGCAGCGAGGGCAGCGCGGCGCCGCCAGCTACATCTCGGACGCGATCGCTGCCCTCGGCCACGAGCCGCCAGCGCCCCCGCAGCAGCGGAGGCCACAGACGCCATGGCAGCAACCAACAGACGGGGAGTGGCGCAGGGATGAGTGGTGGCGCACCAGGAAGGGCGAGGAGCGCGAGTGGCAACAGCCGAGCGGCGAGGCTTCCTCGCTGCAGGACCGCAGGGTCGACTCCGCCTGGCGCGACATGCAAGTTGCATTCGGCAGCGACCAACGCCCCAGTGACTGGTGGAGCAGCCACAGTGGGTGGAGTAGCGGCCAGGGGCACTGGGAGGCCACGAATTGGAGGTGGGTCGAACACCCCCCCGAGACCAATCCCTGGGAAGAACTTAGCTGAACCATCGCACAGGAGCCGCCCCTCCGCAGCAGCGGAGGGAGGCCTCATCGGCCGAGCGTCGACCCTCCGCAGCAGCGAAGGCCTTGCCAATGCATCGTGAGCGGCGGCGACTCGCGCGCGCCGTCGTGCTCGGCGACCGCTGCCCGAGCGGAGAAGGAAAACGAAACGGCGCTTTCATCGGTGCTGTCGTTGCCTCCTTTCCTTCATCGTTTTCTTCTCCCTCCCCCTCCAATCCCCCATCCCGCCATCGCATTTTATCGTCTCCAATCGTATCGGGAGCTCCCGTGGCAGAAGAGCACCCAGAACGGGGCCCTCCGTGACAGAGGGGGGGGGCATCTTAGACCCCCTCTGTGACAGAGGGGGGGCATCTTAGACCCCCTCAGTGACAGAGGGGGGGCCAAAAAACAAATGATCACTTTAATGTGGCTTCTGGATTACAGTCGGGGCGCTGAAGAAGGAACCCTTTTCGTTGGGGAGGGGGCTCGGTGTTTCTAGATTGGTTAACAGTTTGCCCAGGTTGTCCTGAGGTTTTCCATGGGAAATGGAAGTTGACCTTATGGAAAAGAGGGGCCTCGTTCCTTCTTTAGGGTTCCTTAGGTCAACGCCCCGAATGTGCGACTTGGTTGCCACTCGGGCCAGGCGCGGCGGGGTGGCGCGGGGGGCGCGAAAGGGCAGTCGAGCATCGGGGGGTGCCGCGGCCTGGGCCGAAGGGGGTCCTGCTCCAGAGCGGCGGCGCGATGGGTGCTGAGCTGAAGTCGGGCGTGTCCCTCTGCAGGGGGAATATTCCAAAATAGTCGAACATGCTCTGGGGACGATTTGTTGATCATTTTTGGAATATTGTTTAAGCATTGTATGACAATCTTTGAATATGATTGAAGTACTTTTTGTTGTTCGTCCCAAATCCGCCTCTAGGAGGACATGCTCGACCTAATGCTAAGATACTCTCGCATCGCGTGGCGCGACGTGCGAAGCTAAGGTAGGTTCGTGTCGTGTCGACACGGCTGCGACCCCAACGTGGGTGTTCAAGGCTGAACGCCGCCATTGGCCCAGAATGTACCAGTGCGCCGTCATGGGACGATCTGACGATCGAGATGCTGTCGATCGCTCAAGGTTACACGATCCACGCGACGTCAGAGTTCTCACGGTGCGACTTTGCCGTAGGTGACCTGGCTCTCTGAGCTACCTGTGGGCCCAGGGAGCCCCTTCGTCACTCCAGTCGGAGTCCTGCAGCTATTCTTGCAGTGGTCACCGGGGCCTTTGGGCACTCGGGCAGCAGGTCGTCCGTCGCTGGGAACACGTGCTCTTCTTGGCACGCTTTGGGCGTCTTCGAGCTTCAAGGTTCGAGTGGCCCCTCTTCTCCGCAGTGTAACTCTATCCGGGCGCGGCCGATGCCCACTACTCGCATCGCCCGGACATCCGCCGGCATGATGTGTTCCACCCGCGGCCCCAGAGAGGTGGGCGGGTGGTCATGGGGTGTGGCCTACATGTGACGAACATCGCACAAGAGGTCCCCTTTCCTAAGGCTTCGGGAGCCTTGAGACGAGGGTCAGTGCAAACGGGGGTCTGCCAGAGCGCCGGAGCTTGCGGGATCGTGCAGAGCCAGGGGCGCACTGACCCAGCTTAGCGCGCCGGAGGAGGAGGAGGAGCCTGCAGGATCCTGCGGGATCCTGCACAGCCCGACTGGCCTGGGTCTGGATTGACCCTGGTCGGTGAGCCCCCGAAGCGGCCCCCAGAGGTCCCGAACCCTCCCCCTTGGGGGCATGGCCCCGCCCTGGGCCGGTTTTTGAGGGCGCCTGGGGCCCGAGAACGGGCCCCCGAGGGGCCAGGATCGTGGAACTCGGGCGATCCACAAGCATGGATCCAGGGGGCGTGGATCAGCGACGGGTGCCGCTTCAATGGGGAGTCGCGGATCTCCGCCGCCGAACGAGGCGGCACCGGCCGCAATTTGGTGAGGGCACCTCCCCCGATCTACATGGATTTGGCGACCGCGCGCCAAGTCCGTGGACCGCCAGTCCATGTTTGCGCGCCCTCGAGCCAACGGGCCCCCGAGGGGCTGGGATCGCGGAACGACGGCGCGGATGGAACATGCCACCCCAGCCAGGCATCCGAATGGCAGCAAGAAGGCGAAGAGGCGGGTCGAGGGGTCGGAGGTCGAGACACGGCCGCGAACACCGCAGTGTGTGTGTGTGTGTGTGTGTGTGTGTGTGTGTGTGTGTGTGTGTGTGTGTGTGTGTGTGTGTGTGTGTGTGTGTGTGTGTGTGTGTGTGTGTGTGTGTGTGCGTGTGCGTGTGCGTGTGCGTGTGCGTGTGCGTGTGCGTGTGCGTGTGTGTGTGTGTGCGTGTGTGTGTGCGTGTGTGTGTGTATCTGTGTTTTGCAGGGGGTCGTGGCTGCCTGGGCCAACAGTGCAGCTGGCATTGATGCGAGAGCACGGTTTTCGGAATAGGGTGGGAGCCCATGCCAAGAGACAATATGCTTGCCTCCCTTGTGCCCTGGGTTCCTTTGGTTTCGATGGTTTTGCGATGGAAAGCGTGACGCTCCCACGAAGCGTGACGCTCCCACGAATAGGTTTTGGACTGGACGTCCTGGGGTCTCACGAATAGGTTTCTGGTGTAAGGTTTCTCGTGGAAGGGTCCCCTACTGTGGCACTTCTGAGGGGATCCCAGGCGAGCGGGCTGGGCTGTAGCCCTCTCGCAAGACGCCATCGGGGATCGAAATGGTCGGAGATCCGGGCCCGTCGTCCGACTCGATGCACGCGGGCCCCTCCCAGGTTTAAGTCCGGCGTGTGCCCCTACAGGAGGAATATTCAAAACTTGTAGAAAATGTCGGTGGTTTTAAAACATATCGTTCGACCATTTGGAACATGTTGTGAGTGTTGTTCATTTTCCCCGAACATCGGCCTGTAGGGAGACATGCCCGACCTAATCCCAGGTTCCATCCTGGCCGGCAAGGGGCCCCGATTCGAAAGCGAGCGAGGAGCGCGGAGTTTCGACATAATCATACTGGGCTCGGCGCGGGTTCGCCAAGCTGATGGGGGGGGGTCAGTGTTGATACCAAGGTTGGTTCTAGTTGATTGTGTTTGGTTTCACCTGGCTCGTGAGTGGGCCTCGAATGCCCCAAGTCACTTTGGGGCTTCGGGGGTGAACTATCTGGGCTAAGTGGGCTCCGCCACCTTAGGGGAATCATCTGACCCCCCCAAGCTGGTTGAGGTATTTGTGACTCGCGTACCTATGACCCGCTCAAAAGCGTGGTTGGGCCAGATAAAGTTCACCATTGCATTCATTAATGTCCCCAATCCCCTGTAGTAGCCCTCGCGCCGCGCGCCGATCCCAGTATTCGGGTAGGGGAACGACCACAGAATTGATTGACACCCCCATTGATTTATTTGCCTCAATTATGTCACATGCGAAACATGTTCGCACACTCACGAACGTTTTAATCATTTGTGTTGTAGATGTGGCGAACAAAAGTGTTCATGGGGTACATCCATCATGTAGTCGATCTCCGACTCGAAGTATCCTCGGGTATCTGGTATCTGTCTCTTCCAGCGACTTATGCCTGGGCTCGAGAGGCATGGGCGGCGGATCATCTTCAGGTTTCTGGCGGGGCTGTGCCTTCTGCTCTACGTGGGCGGGCAGACGTCGGGGTGGGCTTCCCCTCCTCCTCCTCCTCCTCCACTTCCTCCAGTTCTTCCTCTTCCTCTTCCTCCATTCGTTTCTCCGCTGCCTCCTGCTCCATTCGGTTCCCTTCGACATGGTGCCCACCCTGTCGCACCCCAGGCCAGTCGAAAGTGCGGGCCAGGCGTTCCGCATGAGACTGCCTTACAATGTATGATCCTGAAGCTGAGCAAGTGGCAGCAGTTTCACCGATGGAGGGCGGGGCGCTTCCAAAGTGCGGCTGTCGCCGTAGCGCCGCGCACATTCTTTCTACAAGCATTCGAGCCTTTCACATATTGAGGGCGGTTCGTTTCTAACATGTGGTTCTCGCCTGAGCGCCGCGGCTCGTCTGGAACAAATGCAAGGCTTTGGTGGATTGAGGGCGGGTGGTTGTCAAATTGTGGTTCTCGTTTTACCTCCGCGCGCATTTGTTTTCAAGAGTTGCAGGTGTTCCGAGGATGGAGGGCGGGTGGTTTTCAACATGTGGGCCTCGCCTGAGCGCCGTTTCACGGGTTCCCATGGTTAGCGTACCAGAAATGGCGTCTTGGATGATTCAGGATTGTCAGGGCGCAACAGTTACGATGATTCGTTGTGCTGAGCTCCGGGGAATTGTTTTCTGGCACGATTCAGGGTCGCCAAGGCGCAACAGTCACAATGATTTGTACCGAGAATGGTGTTTCGGCACGCTACAGGATCTTCGAACCTTTGTCTCCCAACGTGGCACTTTCCTCCGTAGGAGTGAATCCTTGCAGGTGCCTGTGAAGAGGAAATTCGGAGGGAGAGTTTATGCCAACATTGTCGATTAATATTGGGCTTGCAATGGTTTTCCTCCTCTTCTTCCCCTTCTCTCCACCTGCTCCCCCTCCACTTCCTTGTCCTCCTCCTCGTCCTCCTACTGCAACGGTATCCTTGTATATGTTGCCTGCCCTTCTTGTTTTTTTTCCGCGGCCACATGGGGTTCACAGGAACTCCTTCCGTGCCCGGGTTAGACTCGTGTGGGGCTCGTGTTAGACCCGTGGTAGACTCGTTTTAGATCATTCATCCCGCATTCAGCGCATTGAGAAGTACCACATCCGATCCTGATATGTTACTCTTAGTTGGTAGCGGAGCTTCGGGTCTCGTCCGCACGCCGCCATGGCTTGCATGGCATTATCTCGCTGCCCTGCTTCGAACGCAACGGCGCCCACTTCCCATCGTGCTCGTCAACAACATCGAGGGCAGCCTTTTCAAGGACACCGTGCTCAACGGTTCGTCGCGTTCGAGCTTTTCCACCTGGTCATCGCGACAGACGATGGTTTTCTGGGGGCCGTCAGGGCGGACCCCAACCCCCAACCAGCCGCCAGGACCGTCTACGGGGGAGGCGCACATGCAGCGTTACGATAACATTGTTTACAAGGACCGCGGCCCCGTGACGCTTCTTTTTTTGGTTCATTACCCCGGGCTTTTGCACGGCATGTATGAGCAGCTCGTGGGCCCGACGCCCTCAACGCATTCACTTGAGAGTGTGACTCTGGCGTCAAGCAGCTGTTTGGACGTCCACGTTACGGCGCAACGTTCAAGTCTACGGCGTTGGCGATGGGTCCCGAGCTTCTTGTGACTATGGTTTGGGAGAAAGACGCAAAAGACACGACGCTTCCATTGCGTCGGCTTGCGGGCTTAGCCGATGGTGTCAAGCAGTTCTTCGATGCGACGTTCATATCTACGGCGTTGGAGAAGCGCTCCGAATTCCACCCGACAGTGTTGCCAGAGCTTGGGCGGGGGGGATGGCGCCCAGGCGGAGCAGAGCGAGGAGATAATGGAGGGTCTGGCGATGTATGTTTTCAGCATTCAGGGGGGCCGCCAAACGAATATGGGAGGATTCTTCTCCGATTGCTCGGACAATGACCCTCCTACATTACGCGCGCATTCCTGGCTATCTAGCAGACCTGGATCCCGATGCATAATCCTTTTGGCGATCGCGCTGATCGCGGTGCCCAGCGCAGTGGCGAGGAAACGCCAGCGTGCAGCCTGGCCGAATGGCGGGGCCAGCTGGGCGAGGAGGGGCACGCCCGAGCGGCGACTGCCCTGATGGACTCCAAGCGACTGCCGCAGGGGCGCGTCGACGAACTCCTCACCACGTTGGAACTCGTCCGAAAGAGGGCGCAGCAGGCAGGTCAACTCAGGATCGCGCGGTGGGCGAGTCTAACATCCAACTCGCCGCGACTTCTGCAGCGTGGCAGCTTGACCGAACCCGCGAGCGCTGATACTGGCCAGCAGCGACGGCTTGGGCGCCTGTTCGATGGCTCGCTCGTCGAGCAATTTCGCCTCGGCCGCCGCGCGTTCCTCGCGGGCGCCCGTTCCAAATCGGGCGGAGCTTTCGCGGCAGAGCGGCTGGATTGCGCCGGGGTGGCGTGGGCCCCGCTGCTCTGGAGGCGGCGCCGAGCCCATCCGCGGCCGCGGCCGGCGCCGACCTCGGCGCAACATTCTCAGCGCAGATAGCGCGCCCAGCTGCAGGTGTCGACTCCGTCGCCGACTCCGACGCCATCTGCTCACTCGGCGAAGAGATTCTGCTCACTCGGCGAAGAGATTGCTGCCGACGCTCCCGAGCTATGCGACGATCACAGTAAACACTACTGCGCGCGCCTCGCGTGGGCATGCGAACGCGCCAAGCCGGCGCCCGATCAGCGGCCTTACCATCTGCGGCCACCGCAGCCCTAGCGGGCGAGATCAGACCCGCCGCGGCGCCCGAGCGCGCGCGCGCTACACCCGCGAGGCGCGCAAGCGCAACGCGTGGGCAGACCCGCCGTTGCACTCCAGGGGCCCAGCAACTCGCCGCAAACCTCACGGCGCCCCGATCCATTCGGGGCGCCCCGGCTGCCAGGAGGAGAAGAAACGCGACCGCCCCGCGCGCGCCGTCGAGCTCGGCGGGCGCAAGTTCGCGGGCCCGCAGCGCACGGCTGCGCCCGCGCGCAGGCCAGCGCTCGCGAGACCCAGCGTGACTTGGAGGACCATGTCGCTCCAGTGACCAAGAGGCTCAACCACCCAGCGGCGACGATCTTGGAGCAGCAGACGCGGCTGCTCTGTCACCTCCGCCTGCAGGACTAACAGGAGCCAGTTCATCATTCAGCTTTCGGACTCAGGATCGCGGAGCGGGTGACTTGTGTCAGGCGACCTCACGGCAGCGGTTCGGGCGGCTGCGTCTCTCGACCTTAAAGAAGTGGTTCGGGTGACGGCTTCGCTCGACCAGGAGCGCAAACCAGTCCAGCAGCGGGCGCAGACCCCCGACTGTCGGCGCCCCGTGCTTCCGACGCTGCAGAAGACAACCTGGCGCCCTCCGACTGGGCTCGCCTCGATGTCTCCGCGCCCCTACTCACGTTGCGCAGTGATTCGCGAGGGGCCCGCGCGCGGGAGATTCGCAAGTTGCGCGCCCTGTGGCAGCGCGCCCCTGAGGAGGAGATAGCACGTGCATTGCGCGCAGCCAGCGTGCCGCAAGACATCCGTGACCCCGCGCCCACGGCGGTCAACGACATTGGGGGGCGCCGCAATGCTTCTGCCACCGGCGCGCCAGACCACCCTTGCATTCCGTGATTCAGCCAGCGCATCGAGTGCGGCATCCTGTGCTACAAGGACCTCATGATCACCCGCCAGATACGCCACGCCTCGCGGTGGCGCAACGGCCAGGGGACCGCGTCCAAGCGCGTCTCGACGTTGATTGCCGCCGTCGGCTTTTGTTGGATTCAGCGGCTCGGTGCGACGGGGGCCATCGTTAACGGCGAGGACGGGAATGCCTCGCAGCATTTCGAGGGCGAGATGAAGAAGCGAGAAGTACAGGTGGAAATGTGGGCTCCTTGTCAGCGCGCTCGCATCATCGAGCGGCGTGCTGTCGCGCTGCGACGCGCACTTCGCGCGACCAGCTAGAGCGCGAAGGCGTCGCTGCGAACTTCGCTCGATGCTGGTGCTCGCTATCTTCGACAGCCACAGCGTCGCCCGCGTGGGCGACGCAATGCCCCTCCGCGTCGCCTTCGGTCGGCAGCCATCTACGTGGCCACCGCTGGATGCAGACGAAGGGCGAGGTATCTGATTCCTGCGGCTCCAGTGTTGGAGCTTCTGCCAGTGGAGAAGTGCAGCCCAGCTGACTGCAGTGGCGCATTCGAGAGATCGCACTGCAACGCGCGATCGAGGCCGCATTGATTTCGCGCGTCAGCCGCGCCCTCTGGACGCCGGGTCTGATGAGGTGGAGACGCACGGGCCCCTGAGCCCTCGGGGCGCGTCGCACTGGACCGGTCAAGGGGCGGTCATTTCTGTTGACGCAGCTGGAGGCGAGGCGGTGGCCAAGCGCCGCCGAACTGAGATGGCATGCAGACTGCAAGACGCCCGAGCCTTCATCGGCGCCGTCTTCGATGACGCGGGCGGCGGCATGGCGCCAGCAGGCTTGGCCAAGGGTCGCGCGGAGGATTGCCCGGGGCACATCCCGCCGCGCTCTGGGGCCAGGGCCCTCGGCCACTGGGCCGCTGGGAGGACGCGAAAGGAGCTCAGATCACCGAGCAGACACGGCGGCGCTAGGACGTCCTCGAAGCCATGCGCCATCTGTCGCACAGATGCTTCCAGCTGCCTGACGCTCGCGCCGCGCAGCCAGCAATCTGCGGGCAACTGGCCTGGCTGCACTCGCAGCTCGCGCATCGCGCGCTTCTTTCGGAACTCGGCCGGCGCCCAGAAGACCCGCTTCACGGGCGTCGTGTTCTACGCCAGCCAGCCCATCGGCGAGCATCGGAAGGAAGCTCGCGTCATTCAGTTCATCTTGGGCGACGAGCCGTTGCTGGCGGCAGACGCCGGACGCGACCTCCCTGGACGGGTCGTGCGACGGCTGCGTCATCGACATTCCCGAGGACCCCGCTGGCACCGTCGAGGCTGGCGGCCATGCCTGAGGAGACCGACCGCGGCTTCTTTGGCCACGTCCAACAGGCGACGCTGACAGCCCGTCGAGAAGTCGAAAGAGCAGGGGGCGGGATCCCAGTAGCTTGGAGGTGGAGAGCACCGACTGCCAGCAGAATGTATACGCTGATGTCGAGCATGCCGCCGCCGCCGGCTTTTACCGCGGGCCGCGCGAGTGGCCCAGGCGCATCGAGACGCAGCGCCAGTGCTGGGGCATCCATGCGAAGTGCCGCAACTACCTGCGCTGGGCCTCCTTGGACGACTGCGCCGCGCTAGGGGTGCGTGGGCGAGGTGGAAAGAATGTTGAGTTGCATCCTGATCCAGAGGTGCGCGAAGCATGTGCGACTTCGACGTGAAAGTGCCCAGCGACCGCGTCGCTGGCGCTCCCCAGGCAGCCGCGCTTAGCATGCGCGCCGCCGTCAAGCCGTCAAGACCAGTGATCGCGCGCTACCGACCATCTGATCAATGCGGAAGTGTCCAGGCTGTCGCAGGATGTCGCAGCGGCTTCCGCCATCTGAGCGCAGAGCAATTTCCTCGAAGGGGCGACCGCTCAAGGGTGCCCCAAGCGCAATGGACTCCCTAGGCGCGCCTTCAAGTGGAAAGCACCGGAGATCAGACGGTCAGACTGCCCGGATCATTCGGCGCCGCGCGGCGGCGGGGGCATCCGCGACGTGGGCGCCCGGGCCCTGGAGACGTTCGCTGGGGCAGCGGAGCTGGCGTCGCAGCGCCCGCTGTCCTCAGCGGCAGCGCGTCGCCCAGACAGGGCTCGCGTCGCGAGAGGACGCCCCTGCAAGGCATGACCTGCGCCGACGTGCAGGGGCAAGAGGGGGGGGGCCCGCGAGGCAAGCTTCGCCCTGCCGCCCAGCAGTGGAGCTATCCTCCGTCATGTGCCCCGCTACGAGAGCCGCGATGGGCGGGCCGAGTGCCTGCGCCGCCTCGCTCATGCGGGGCACGGGCTGCAAGGGGGCGCCCCGGGCTTTTTCCGCGAAGCTCGACCCGGTCACGCGCTCGCCAGAGTGCGACGCCAAACCGGCCAGGCGGGGCCCGGAGCTCGGGGCCGAGCACGACTCATCGGGTGCTTGCGGCACCAGCGACCCGAAGCCAGTGCTCACGCTTTACAATCGCGTCGATTATCTGAACATCGCCGGACGCAAGGGGCACGTCGACCGGCTGATCAACCGCGTCGAGAGCGTCTTCGGCAAGATGAATGCGAAGTGCGTCGCTTCGCGCATCTGCCGAGCGCAGCAGCGCCGCAGTGCCGGCGGCGCCGTGGCGCTCGACCAGGACGTGTACATCGACGGCGCGATGCCGATCGGACACGCCAGCCTGGCGGCGGCCACGGCCCTGGTGAACGAGCTGGCCAGAGGTCAGCTTCCAGTTTTGTTCCCGGCGGAGCCGGGTGAAATTCCGCCCCCGCCGGTGACTGACTGATTGACTGACTGATTGACTGACTGATTGACTGACTGATTGACTGACTGAACGTCAGGAGGGCGCCTTAAACGACAAATTTCAAACCGCCCGCGGGCGCGCATCCGCACCTGGGCGACGCATTTCAATCCGCCCGCGAGCGCGCAACCGCGACCGCAACAGGGCGATGCATTTCAACCCGCCCGCGGGCGCGCAACCGCAAGCGCACCTGGGTGGTGCATATCAAACCGCCCCCGGGCGCGCAACCGCAACTGGGCGACGCATTTCAGACCGTCCGCGGGCGCGCAAGCGCAACCGCAACTGGGCGACGCATTTCGACCCGCCCGCTGGCGCGCAACCGCAACCGCACCTGGGCGACGCATTTCAAACCGCGGGCGCGCAACCGCAACCGCACCTGAGCGACGCCTTTCAACCCGCCCGCGGGCGCGCAAGCCCAACTGGGCGACGAATGTCAACCCGCCCGCGGGTGCGCAACCGCAACCGCAATTGGGCGCCACATTTCACACCGCCCGCGCGCGCGCAACATTAACCGCATCTGTGCGACACAATTCAAACCGCCCGCGGGTGCGCAACCGCAACCGCACCTGGGCGACACATTCCGACCCGCCCGCGGGCGCGCGACCGCACCTGGGCGACGCATTTCAACCCGCCCGCGGGCGCGCAACCGCAACCGCAACTACGCGACACATTTTGACCCGCCTGCGGGCGCGCGACCGCAACCGCAACTGGGCGACGCATTTCAACCCGCCTCCGGGCGCGCGACCGCAACCGCAACTGGGCGACGCATTTCAACCCGCCCGCGGGCGCGCAACCGCAACCGCAACAGGGAACCGCATTTCAACCCGCCAGCGGGCGCGCAACCGCAATCGCACCCGGGCGACACATCTCAAACCGCCCGCGGGCGCGCAACCGCAACCGCAACCGCACCTGGGCGACACATTCCGACCCGCCCGCGGGCGCGCGACCGCAACTGGGCGACGCATTTCAACCCGCCCGCGGGCGCGCAACCGCAACCGCAACTACGCGACACATTTTGACCCGCCTGCGGGCGCGCGACCGCAACCGCAACTGGGCGACGCATTTCAACCCGCCCGCGGGCGCGCAACCGCAACCGCAACAGGGAACCGCATTTCAACCCGCCAGCGGGCGCGCAACCGCAATCGCACCCGGGCGACACATTTCAAACCGCCCGTGGGCGCGCAACCGCAAGCGCACCTGGGTGGTACATTTCAATCCGCCCGCGGGCGCGCAACCGCAATCGCACCTTGGCGACGCATTTCAAACCGCCCGCGGGCGCGCAACCGCAACTGGGCGACGCATTTCAACCCGCCCGCGGGCGCGCAACCGCAATCCCAACTCGGCGACAAGTGCCAACCCGCCAGCGGGCGCGCAACTGCAACCGCACCGCTCTCCCGCCGCCCTCCTCCAGGGGGTCTGAGGCGGAGGAAGGGTGGGGGGGGGTGGGGGAGAGGGGGGGGAGCAGGGAGGCGGGAGGGGGGGGATGTTGGGGGGGAGAGGGACGGAGGGAGGGTAGAGAGCTCACAATGATTGGGGGCGGACAACTTCTGCCCCCCCCCGCTGTGGATCTCCACAAGGCTCCAGACCCTGGATTCCTTATCCAAGGCCTCCACGGTCTGCTAGCGGGACGGGTGGGTTAACCGCCCCCGAGGGGGGAGACGAGGCTTTGACAGAAGCGGTCCGTTGCGCCGCCTAGTTTGATTTTTTTGGGGGGGGCGATGCCGCGGGGGTCGACTGCGCGTTCACCCGCGCGCGAGCTGCACGCGGATGTGGGTGCATCGGCGCCGTCTTATTCACGCAGCCGGCCGCGTCTGATCCATGATCTGGCGCAGGAGCAGGTGGACCTAGGAGGGGGGGGGATGACGAGGAGGAGGTAAGGGAGGAGGAGGAGGGGCAGCCGCAGGACGAGGAGGATGAGGAAGAGGACGAGGAGCAGCAGGACGACGAGGAGGAGGAGGAGGACTAGTGATTAGGATGGCGAGGAGGAGGAGGAGGAGGAGGAGGAGGAGGAGGAGGAGGAGGAGGAGGAGGAGGAGGAGGAGGAGGACGACGACGACAGGGAGGGGGATGCCAGGGTGGCGCTGCTTGAGAAGGTGCAAGAGCAGGTGCTTGTTGCGGAGGACTGACGAGGACGAGGTGGTGGACGTCAAGGAGGATGGAGGTGGATATCCTCCTCGCGGCATCTGGGCGTGACCCGCGGTTCTCCGCTGGAACATTGCAGCGGGGAGTCCTCATTCCACGCTGCTGCTTCTGCGCCTGCTCCTTGCGCCTTGCCGCATCGCCGCGTGCTTCGTCGCCCTGCAGAGAGCCGAGAACAATCTGCTAATCCGACGTGCGGCACAGCGCAACCCGGACGCATTGGCAACGCAGAAGATAAGGGCACGCATCGCGTTCCCCGCCATGGAGTGCGCCGGGCGACGCAGCGCGCTTTGCGACGGGTCGTTCAAGAGGGAGGAGGACGGGGTGCGGCGCGAGAGGGGCCAGATACATGCATATCGGCAAGTGCCGCCGCGCTGACAAATAGGTGTGCCGCTTGTTGGACGCAGTGAGCCCATCGCACAAACTGGTGTGGAGATGACCGCTCGGTTCAGGGATGCTCGCGGCATGTAGCGCAGCCGACTGACTGCAGGCCTGCCTCTTCGCGCGGCTGGAAACGGCGTTCGGCCCCGCTTCAGAGAAGGCAGCTAAGGAGATCAAGGGGCTGAGGGAGGAAGGACGTTGCGCGTTTCCTGCAGATTTCGTCATTGCCGGCGCGCCCGTTTTCAGCGATCTGCTCGTGGAGCCGGCGCGCTCGCCTTTCCGAAAATAGCGCGGCAGGCCACTTGTGGAGGTTAGCCGGGCAGCTTCGCGCCAAGTGCGACGCTCGGGGAACGCGGGCCCCACCCAATGACCAAAGGCAGCGTGGGCCAAGAAGTCATCCTTAGCGCGATGGGCGGCCAGATCAGCCACGACCATCATTCGGTGGAGTTCAACGACGAGAAGAGGAGGAATGCAGCCCCGAGCTCCCAACGCAGCTTTCAGTCAATAGGGGGGGAGTTCAGTGGACATCGACGGGGGAGAGCTACGAGGAAGTTGAGTATTCGAGTGAGTGCTGCTCCACTGGACTGTGTGAGCGGAGCAGCAACAGCTGCAACAACCATTCTTGCAGGCGTTCCACCCATAGTTGTTCGTTCGCAGTGCAGGCGTACCGCGGGATTGTTCCACTGGCGCGGTCAGTTGAGCGCCCCAACAGTTGTTTGGATTTCCGTGTCGCGACTTCCTGTGCGGCTTGTGCATGGGATGCCAAAGAAGGCGCGACGCATTTGTTCGAACACCAGGGTTGAACCGTACGTTGTGTGTCCAGTGCCCTCCTGCTTTGCTTGTCGCACCCTGTCCTGTCCGCGCTTTCCGCGGCCATATACAGCCTGGCCAGGTAGCGCTCACGCTGCTCACTGCTGTTCATTTTTTCCCCGCTGTTCACTGAATCGATCCATCTCATTCACCACTTCTCCTTGAATCCATTTCTCCAGTCTTTTCTTCTTTTTCCTTTTCGCCTCCAGGTGGGCCCGCTTCCTGGCCCAGTCGAACGCCGGGGCATGGAAGCTGCTTGGCCGGCTGTTCGCGCTCCTCGTCTTCACGTTTTTGGCCATCTGGCGTCGTCGTCGTTTTCATCCGCGCCCGTCGTCGTCGTCGTTCTCGTCGTCGTCGTCGTCTTCGTCAGTTTCGCTTATCGTCTTTGTCATCGTTGTCGTCGTCGTCGTCGTCGCCGTCACGTTTCTGGCCCCACGATGCGGGAAATCCTGACCACCGTCGTCGGTGTTATTGGGAGGTTCCCGCCGGGGCCTCGGTTCTTGGCGTTTTCCGATTTTTTTCGAAAGGTGCCAGGTTCCGGCCCTCTGATAACGGTTGCGCCCGAGGTTATTTTTTTCTTCGCCAACTCGCGCCCTTGTGGGGGCGTTTCTAGTTTTCGGGGCTGCCCAACTGGGATCTGCGCGGGGGGGTGCTAGGAGGATTGACGGGTCATCCGTGAGTTCGTTTTGGGGTTTCAGCGATGCGGGCTTAGTGGGTTCCGCCCACTTAGCGGCTTCGTCCAAACCCCCAAACGGCTTGAAACATTCGCAACCCATTGGTGCGCGAGATTCCTTCTCTTACATGTTTTCAAGCCCGGGCGGGGGGGACAACCCCTCCCCCTCCCCCCCCCAAAAAAAAACGGACTCCCGGGATCAGGGGTTTTGGGACCTTTCAGACGGGCTTCGAAGCGGCCCCCCGGGCCTCGCAGGGCGTTTTGCCAAGCCTTCCCAGCACACCTAGGGCGATCAGGGGGGTCATCGGAGACGTCCCAGAGACCCCTAAGACAGCACAAGAGCGCTCCAAAAGTGACCGACGTGACCTCAAGATGGCCCAACAGGCCTCCAGGACGGCCCCAAAGAGGCCTCCAAGAGCACTCCCCAGAAGGCCTCACGAGGCAAAACTCAGATGTTCGATTGGTGTTTGGTGAATTTTGGGGTTCTCCTGTTTTCGGCTTCCCGACGCTCCAAGACGGCGGTCTTCTGGGCGTCCGAAGCCGCCTGGGAGGCTCCCAAATCGCCCCACATTGCCAACCTCTGGATACGGGACGCTTTTTGTCAAGCAGTGGGAAGTCGTCATGGCTTTCCGATGGGCCAACCGAAGAGACAATGTTCTGATCACCTTCTGTCGTTTGCACGAACTGTTTTTAAACAATGTCTGGCTGGGGCCTTCTTGCTGCAAAGCATCAGCTTCATGTTCTAAGTACCTTGTCTCGTTTTTAGAGCAGTGCTTTGTTCTAAGAATATGTCATGGTTTACCTGTAGGAATGCGGGGGCGGTCGGTCCCTTCTCAAGTCGAGCGTGTCGGTGTCGCTCGGGAACTGTTGCGGTGCGCCCGATGCATGCTCCCGAACTGCCAGGCTTACGTCGGGCGTGTCCCTCTACAGAAGGACTATTCCAAAATAGTCAGGGGAGGATTTTTTGAGTACGTTTCAATATGTTGGAGTATTTGTTTGAACTATTTTTAATGTTTCGTCCAAAATCCGCCTGTAGGGGGACATGCCCGACCTAATACCAGGCTTCAGAAGTCCTAGATTTTCCTGGTCCGATTCTGTCCCCGTCCCGGGATGGGATGAGCCAATCGCCCCTCCTGGGATGGGCGCGGGGATTGCTGAGGGGATGCGGGGGTGCAGCCGTGGATGGATACCAAGGTGGGTCAACTACACCTGGCCTGACGCGGCCTGTAATTCCCAAGGTGGGTTGGGAGTGTTGGGCAACTCCGCTAAGTGGGCGCAGCCCATTTCGCCTGGACCGGTAGCCCCCCTGAGCCCTAAGCTGCCTGGGGCATCTGTACTCCACTCAGACGCCACGCCAGGTCAGGTATCACCGGCCTTCGCATCCGCTGAGAACCCCCCTGTCCCCTCTCGGCGGCGAGCGGCCGGGGGGAGGAAAGCGAGAAGGAGAAGGCCTCCCCGGAAGGCGGCGGGACTTCTCAGAAGCCCTCGCGCCGTCGGAGAAGTGCTTTCCGTCTTCGGGGAAGGCTTAGGACACTCCTCAGAAGGCCCAGGGACTTCGGAGCCTTCTGAGAAGGTCCGCCCCTTCTCACTCCCCCCTGGGCTCGCCGCCGAATCGACGCCGCTTCTTACCTCCACCGGCTGTCGCCGAGGCAGAGATGCGAACTCCTTCGAGCCTCGCAGGCGAGGCCCTCTCTGGGAGCGCCCCTGTGCGGGGCCCCGCGCCCTCGCGCTGCACCCCCCCTGGGAGCGAGGCTCGCTCGGTGCCTACCCTCGGCAGCCCTTGCGCCCATCCCGGCTGGTCCTCTCTGGCCGACCTGGGCCTGCAGAGCCGGGCGGAGCAGGGACGGGGCCCAGGGCGAGCACGGGCCAGGGCTGAGGCTGTCCCGCGCCCGCGCGGCCCCGACGGCTTGTTCCACCAGGGTCGAGAAGAGCACTTCGTCTCATCCCCTCGTCATCCTCGTCCTCCTCCTTCTCCTCCTCCTCCTCCTCCTCCTCCTCCTCCTTCTCCTCCTTCTCCTCCTGCTCATCCTCCCCCTCCTCCCCCTCCTCTTCCTCCTCGTGCCCCCCCTCCTCCAGCTGCATGAGCATAGAGCGCTCATGCTGCAAGAAAGGAACGCCGAGTAAGTAAGGAATGGGGCTTTTCTGGCTACGGCGAACCTCGGCAACGTAGGCGCTCCAAGCCCTAACTGTGAGGAGCGGCCCGCGAACCAGGAGTCCCTCCGGAGCCCAATGTGGTCCTGATTTCAGTCTCTTTGACTTTAGGCCAGCACGGGTTTCTCGGGCCGGCGCCAGAGGCGCGGCGCCAGAGGCGCCGCCAGGGGCGTGGGGAGCATGGTCTAGCACCCGCCCAGGAGGTCCGCGCGGACCTCCGATGACAGGACCCCCAAAGAGTGCTTGCACTTTGGGTTTTTTCTTTTGGGTCTCTTCAGGAACCGGATGGATATGCCGGGTTTTCGCCGCCTCGTGGGTGCTTCGTGGGCGCCCCGCGCTTTGGGGTGTATGCCGAGGTTTGCGCCACGTTGCCGCCAGCGACACCCCGTGAGCGCCCCGTGCTCTGAGCTTGCACGACAAAGCTTACACAGCATAGCTTTACTTCCAGAGCATAGCTTCCATTATATAGCTTACATCCCATAGCTTACACCATCGGGCTTACAGAACATAACTTACACTACATAGACATAGCTTGCACTGCATAGTGCCCACTTCAGTAGCTTACACCGCATAGTCACGCTACATAGCCCGCATAGCTTACGCCGCATGGTTTCCACATCAACAGTACAATAACGCACTGCTTGGTGGCCCTGCTGGTTAGCTTATTCACTAGTCCTGAGACACAGCTTGCACGAAGTGTAAGAGCAGCCCTAGCTTGTGATGTGTACCCTGATGCTCTTGTTGTTTGGAGTCTTCACCTTGAAGTGTTCTCTTTGTTGGGACTTCCATTGGGAATCCACTGAGCACTCGGCGAGAGGGTCATTTTATCGACCCGCTCTCGTGCGGCCGTATTCGACTGTACACGGATAATTGAAAGCGGCATCATATATTTTATCGAAGATCCGAGCGAATCTCTTGAATCGGCGCTGCATCCCCTTTCGTGGCGCCTCCAGCGCGCCGATGTTGACGGCGATCCACGAAGTCTTTGTGGACCTCTGAACGCTTATGCTTTGTCATTTCCTCTTTTTCTTCTTCTACTTATTATCATTACTAGCTGTATGAATATTATTATTGATTATCTTATTCGTATTATTCCTCCTGGTCTATTCGATGCTGTTTCCGTAGAGCCCGCCGATCACCCAGGGTATCCTTCCCGCATCCCCCTCCTCCCCCCTCTGATTTGACCTTGTCGGCTGCAGATCCGAAGGCGGTACGCAGCACTGGTCCACGCGGGCATACGTGAGGCTGCCCAGAGCGAAAAGGCTAATTCGTTATTTGGCTGGCACCTCCCCCCCTTCCCCCCCATCGGATGATAACCCGGGTTATCGCCAAAAGATGAAGAAATTATCTCAGGAGGCGGCGGGGCTCCTGAGAGGCCTTCGCGCCTTTTAAAAGTTTCCTCCGTCTTTGGGGGAGGCCCAGAAAACTTTTCAGAAGGCCCGAGGCCTTCCGAGCCTTCTGAGAAGGCCTGCCCCATCTCAGTTCCCCCTGGGCTCGCCGCCAACTTCTGCTTGTCTGTGCAAGGCCCTCTTCTTCTTCGCGGAGATCTGGGTCTTCGGGCTCCTCTCCTTCAACCCGCAGAAGCCCCTTCGCGACAGCCTCCCCCCGGGCGCCGGCGCGGCATTGGAGGGGTTGCCGGCCGCAGCGTGGAGCCTCTTCGCGTGACGTTTAGCCCCCTAACGCAGTGCTCTCCTGCCGTCTTTCCCCCCCTCTCTTCTTAGACCAATGACAGAGAGTGTTCCTTGAAGAAGGCTGCTTCTAAGAAGCAGCCTCCTTTCAAGAAGCCTTCCCCCCTCCTCCTGCCCCCTCTGCGCGCCGCCAAGTACATGTGTTTTGTCAAGTTGTGCTGCGACGGCGGGGCCGGGTGCAAATCAGGACAGGTGCACTCTGACTCCGCGACAGACGCACGGGCAACGGTAGGGAGGACTGCGATGGCGCTGGCCCCCTCAGAAATACAGACCAACCAGTGCGCAAGAGAAAGCGGCAGCATGTGTAAGAGGCGTAGAAGGAATTCCAGAGAGAGGGAGAGAAGGTCGTGCATGTCAGAGGAGCACTGGCAAGATGGTGAATCAATGCACTCTCGTACACTTCTGGTGGCTTTGCTGCGCGCCAGGCAGCGTATTGGCCATTGTTGGTCGGTGGACGTCCTCGATCGAAGATGGATCGAATTAAGGGAAACGAGTATCTTTATTGAATCGCTTCGCTCATTCCGCCGGCCCATTTCGCATGACTGAGCCTCTTAGGGCCGCTGGGGGGCCTCTTCAGCGTCGCTTGGGGGCCGGGGCCTCCTAAGGGCCTCTTGGGAGCTTTTGGGGCCTCTTGAGGCCTCCTGGGGGCTTCTTAAGGCCGAGGGCTCGAAGTTTTGTTTTGTGTTCCCCCTTTGGGGCATCGCTTGGGGCCCTCTTGGGCCCCTCTTGGGCCGTCTTGGATGCCTCTGGGGCCGTCTTGGAGCCCTCTTGGGCCATCTTGGGGCCTTCTTGGGAGCTTCTTGGGCCCTCTTGGGGCGATCTTGGGGGCCTCTTGGGCCGTCTTGGGGCGTCGGGAAGCCGAAAAGATGGACACGCCAAAATCTGCCCAAAACCTAAGGAAAAGTAATGAATTTTGCCTCTTGGGGCCCTCTGGGGAGTGCTCTTGGAGGCCTCTTGGGGCGTCTGGGGGCCATCTTGGGCGTCTTGGAACGATCGTGTGGCATCTCGGAGCACTCTTGAACCATCTTGGAGGGCTCTTGGCGGCCTCGTGGCCCTTCTTGGGGCTCTCTGGAGGGCCACGGGGGCGGCGCCCAGGAGGAAAACCATCTCTGACCCGACCCTGCCGGGGATCGCCCGGGGTACTTTTCGTCCTGGGACCCCCAGGGGCCGCCCCGCGCGGGCGAAGTAGAAGTATTATTTAGCAGTTACCGGAGATCTTAGCACGCCTCTGGCCCGTTGGGCCGGCGAATTTCAGGGTCTTTGCGGATCTAGAAACCAGCCTGAAGACACCCCCTAGGCCAGGGACCACATGAGAGGGGCGGGTACAGCGGAATGCAGTACATATTTGATGCCCAGCCTTTGATTCACAAGAATTCTGCAATGAAGGGAGGCGGCTGCTACTGAACTCTGGCAGGAGTAACAGTACACGATGAAACCCTACCAATGCAAAGCGATGACACAACAGTAGGAGAAGTATGAAGCACGCGCGCCAGGGGGGAGGCTAAGTGGCCAGGGGTGAGGGGCTTGGAGTGAGGCTATGTCGCCAGAGGGGGAATGGGTAGGGTGCTATGGGGAGGGTGCCCGGGACCAGGGCGCCCCCGATGTTAGTTGGCCAGGGCAGGGGCTAGGGGGGGGAAGAACGAGCCGAGTCACGAACGACAGCGACGAAACGAACCACGGGAGCACAGGGCTCCGAGCTCTCGAACACGGCTGCAACAAAATGCAGTGGGGACCCATGCCAAGACACGCCCTGTTTGCCTCCAGGGTGTCCTGGGTTTCTTCGGTTTCGATGGCTTTGCCATGGAACGCGTGACGCTCCCGCACCAACGATCAATGGACGTCCCAGGGTCTCAGGGTTGGGTTTCGTGTGGAAGGTTTCTTACGGTCGAGCTCCTACTGTACAGAGCTCCGAGCTTCAGAATGCAGCTCTGCGAGCGAGTGGTCGAAGACGCCCACGGCGAGTCACCGCCGCCCCCCGCTTTCCGGGAAGTGCCTACGTGGCCGAGCGTTGCGGCCGGAGCTTGACCGAACGATCACACTGCGCGTTTCCCCAGCCATTTTGGAGACCCTTCGGGGAACACGTGGGGAGCAATATGATGAGGAGGAGGAAGAACAAAAGGAGGAGGAGGAGGAGGAGAAGGAGGAGGAAAGGGGGAAGAGGAGGATAAGGTGGAAGCCTTTTGAGAGCGTCTTGGGGTACTCCTTGGCCCTCCTAGGAGCTTCCTGGGGGCCTCTTGGAGGCCTCTTGGGAGAATCCTTGGGCCTCTTTGGAGCCTTTGGAGGCTCCTTGGGAGGCTCTTTGGTTGTCGGAGGGGTGTCCTGGCCTTCTGACGCCGTTGGGAGCCGTCTTGGGGGCCTCTTCTGGGCAGACTTGGACCCTCTTGCGGCGCTTCAGGGCCATTTTGAAGGCCATCTTGGACTTCTTGGAGGTCTTCTGGGCCGTGCTGGGGCTCTTTGGAGCCGTCCTGGGGTCTCGTGGGCCGTCAGAGGGCCATCTCGGAGCCCTCTTGGGCGCTCTGAGGGCTATCTTGGTAGCCTCTGGGTCCGTCTTGGGTCGTCGGAAAGCTGTCAATAAGCAAACGCCACAATCCTTGAAATACCAATGGTACATGAATGACGTTTGCCTCTTCGGGTCTTCCTGGAGTGATCTTGGAGGCCTCTTGGGCAATGTTGGAGGCCTTTCGTGCAGTCTTGAGCGATACTGAAACCATCTTGGTCCGTCCTTGGGGCATCTCGGCCCGTCTGGGAGACATCTCGGGGCCATCTTGGGCTCTCTTCGGGTCTTCGTAGCCGTCTTTGAGACCATCTTGGCAGTCTTGGAGACCACCTTTGGGCCGTCTGGAGCGGGAAGATCGACGACCTGGGAAGTTCATGGGTCTTTTTCGAGGTGGAAAGACCACGGGAGGTCGCGCTTTGAGTGGCTCTCCCCTCTGGGTGGCCAGCGCATCAGACCAACGGCCCCTGGCATTTTTGTTATAGAAAAGGAAACAATGACTTAATGTTTGGCACGCCGTGTTCCCTTGTGGCAAGCCAACAGGGTGCTGCGTATCGAAGACGCCTACGGCGAATCACCGCCGCCCCCTGCCTTTTAGAATCGCACATGTGGCCGAACGTTGTGGCCAAAGCTCTGCCAGGCTATCGGACCATCTGTTCCCCCAGTCGTTGTGGAAGCCATTTGAGGAACACATGGGGGAGGATGGCGGGGAAGATTAGGAGGATGAGGAGGAGAGGATGAGGAGGAGGGAGGAGGAGGAGAGGAGATGGAGGAGCAGGAGGATGATGAGGACAAGCCAGGTGCGCTCGCGTCATAGTCGACGTCCTACCCCTCCCTCCCATCCCTTACCATGGCGTAGATCTCCTCTCTATTCGCACAGTCGGATGTAGCAGCATGGCACAGAATTACATGGCATAGCATGAATGTTTTAGATCAACGCGTAGCATGACATAGCATGGCGTGGCGACGCCCCAAAGTGCGGGGGACTTCCGCGGTCCCGAAAATCAGCAAAATTGACCGAATGTGGAATCACTTCCGATGGTTTTTCGGGGGGGGGGTTCTAGATTTTGGGGTCTATTTTTTCAGAACCGGAACTACTGACGCCAACGCTGCAGCTGGAGCACGATTCGGAACGAGCGGAAGCGAGGAAATGAGGCCAGCGCTGCAGTGGGAGCACGATTCGGAACGAGCGGAAGCGCAGAAATGAGGCCAGCGCTGCAGCGGGAGCACGATTCGGACTGAGCGGAAGCCCGAAAATGAGGCCAGCGATTCAGCGGGAGCAATATTTTGAAAAAGCCGAAGCGGAAACCCAGTTCCCGGGAATCCTGCGTGAAAAAGGCAGTACGCGGAGGGGGGGGCGGGATATCTTCTGGACGTCATCAGGGGAGAGGGGAGTAATATTCATACTGTGCAATTGTGGAGGAGGGGGAGGAAGATTGCAGTGTACTGCTGATGCCCTTTTCGGGTAGGCGTAACCCTTTTGAATCGGACGGGGCGCTTTGGCTCTCCCACCCTTGAAATAAGTGCTCGACATTGTCATCGGGTAATGAATGGTGGGTAATGGTGGGTGATATGCGTGTAGCGCATATCCTGTGGCAGCCACCTCTGCCTCGTAGCACCGTGACCGGGGGGGTCAACGCATGTGGGTCAGACGTCCAATCATGAGGGGACGACGAGTGACGGACCCAAGCATGATGTGTGACAGCAATGTGTGTAAATGTGAGCCCCATGTTGTGCCAACACTGGTGCCGACAGAATGCACCAAACCGAATTCAAGCACCAATGTGCGTTCCAAGGGGGGGCCCGGTTTGTCCGCCCCACGGGGGTTGCAAACATAGTTTGGTCTTCGAGTGACCTGAAACGTTTCCCGCATTTCGGTCCTCATGAGATGCCGGCGGAGCTTGTGCGGAAGGGAGATGTCCGAGACATAGGTGGCCGCCTTCCAAAAGGTGACACCGGCGGGTCGGTGTTGAGGAGCCCTGTGGCAACCTAAACGGTCGCCTCCTGGGTCCCTGGATGGAAGCCTCGCATCGTGGACGTACCCAGTTATGCCCCCCTCCGAGTTTAGGGCAGCCCCACTCCCGAGGTCTGATGGCCACGCGGCTAAGACGAGGTTCCGATGTTGGTATTGGTGGGTGATATGCATGTAGCGCGTATCCTGTGGCAGCCACCTCTGCATCGTAGCCCCGTGACCTGGGGGGCAACGCTTGTGGGGCTCACCTCCAATCATGAGGGGACGACGAATGATCCTTTCGTGATATGTGTCAGCAATGAGTGTACATGTCATCCGTATGTTGTCAACATTAACGCACCGAACCGAATTCAAGCCCCAATGGCGTTCCCAGGAGGGACACGGTTTGTCCTCCCCATGGGGGGGGCAAACATAGCTCGGCCTTCAAGTGACCGGCAAACGTTTGCCGCATTTCGGTCCTCATGGGATGCTGGTGGAGCTCGTGCGGAATTTGACGGAGGTAGAGGTCATCGCCTCCCGAGGGTGACACCGGCCGATCGGTGTTGTAAACGGTCGCGTCCGGGG